TTCATTTCTAAAAAAATACGGGTAAACTCACGGACCATATATCTCATGATAAAAAATGACCAAAAAAAATTCCTGCTTTTCTTTATATATATATTTTTTAATTTTCTTTAAATTCAATTTCGTTTTTGATTTTTTTAAAATCCTAAATAAAGCCGGATTCAAAAAAAAAAAAAAAGGGGTTGTACGGCTCAAAATTCCCTACAACCTTATATATATATATATATATATTTTTTACCTATTATTTAATTAAGGAAAATTCGTGTAAAATCGGGTCCGCGGTGCGGACCAAGTAGGCCGCGGATGCGAACCCATTTGGGTCCGCGATCCGAGCTCGACCCCGCGGACGCGTCCGCGGGTGTTTCCCTGACGGAAAAGCTCGCCGGCCACAAAACGTTGTCCCTTAAGTGGAAGAACAACGTCCTCTCCATGTTGACTAGCAGTAGATTGAAGAGTAGGGATATCGCACTTACCGAAGGTATTGTGCACATAATCTGGAAACGCATGGGGAACGTGACATCCATCGCACTGTTGGCCAATGATCCTTTGGAGGCGCAGGTGAGGAGCATGAAGTTGCATGAGGAAGTGGGTAGCACAAAGTGTCACACATGCGTTCTGGATCTGTGCGAGCCGGTGGACCTAAAGCAGTGGAAACTGCAAGCGTTCGAGACTTTGAATTCCCTTCTCCGGTTCTTGTGCCAATCGCACTAGACATTTGTTGCTTTCGTGCCACGACAGTGAAACCTCTCAATACACATTTCATAAAAAATGAACTTTTTGTCAAAAAATGAACGATTTCGACTAGCAGGACTGCGAATAAACACTCTGTGCATGGCCCAATAGGGCATCATGCGACACTTTAAGTGAAGATAAATGGTCATTATATGAGGGGTTGACATGGCAAATGTTGCGGTGGGGCGTTTGGAGCCCTTCGTACATGAACAGTCGTTATCAAATGCGAATTAACACCTCAGTGTAAAAAAGGGCAGGGGTTCTTTGTATGACACCTTGACAATGTTGTCCTGGCTAGGTGTTGCCAAAGACTGTGACAGACAGTACACGATTCAAAAGGGCATCCTGTTGGGTATGTGGTGCCTGTTTTCCATAAAAGGTCAGGGGTCCGGCGCCCGGCACCTTGCAAGTTGATGGACTGAACCCGTCAACTGTGGTCAGGCGGAACACCCAGCCTGGTGCACGACATTTGGCAAGTTGAACTCGCAAGCCGTCAGTACCCCTGCAACAGATGTGTCCACCATTTATCTTCCCGGAAGGACCTCCTTCTTCGGTTGACAGATAGTAGTTGAACACCGAATCAATCCGTAGTTAGTGGTGTTCGACAGAGCACCTGAAGGAAGTGTCAAACAGTCGTTCGCTCTCGATGCCGATTGCCAATAACACTCTTAGGGGGCCTTGATGCTGGTTCCTGATCTATTTGGCGATTGAGCAGCTTGAAGAAGTGTGAAACAGTCATTGGTTGTCTGTGTGGATTACCATTAGCACTCTTAGGGAATCTTGATGCGAGATCTGATTCGGGGTCGTGTGTGTGTGTGTGTGTGTGTGTGTGTGTGTGTGTGTGTGTGTGTGTGTGTGTGTGTGTGAGAGAGAGAGAGAGAGAGAAAGACTTGTTTATGACCAGCCTGCACCATCTTTCTGTCGTGAGGGCACTGAGAGGGAAGTGGGTGAGGCGGTTGCAGCAGAATAAAAAATTTCCCGTTGGAGACCTGTACGCGACGGACGATCACATGTATATTCTTTTCAAGGGTGACGATTTGCGGGAAAACATGTCTATCGTTTACGATGGGAGGCTCCCGGCGGGTGACGCTGTGGCTGTTCGGTTGCCTCAAAAAGTGACCCCGACGGATATTTCGGAGATTCCCTTCACGCCTTGTGACTGATCGTTGTCCGCGTCGGGATGAGAAGGCAACGTTTACAAGGACATGGGGTGCAACCCGACCCAGTTGACTGGTTTTCTGGAATCCGTGAGCAAAAAGGGAGAGGTGTCGTCTTTCTTGGGAGCCGCAGGCGCAAGTCATGTGGGAGCTTTTGAAGAGTGGCCGCCACGTTGTCGCGTTGGAAGGGAACTCGGAGTTGCTGCAATTTATGATGAACTTCGTCAAAAGCGAGGTCAACTCTGGGGCGAACCGTTGCAAGTTCGTGGTGAAGAAGGACAAACGAAAACGCATTTGGGGCGCTTCCACGGACATGTGGTTCAAGTTGAGTGGGCGGAAGAGAAACAAGATCTACAAGTTCCTGTTCTTGGAAACGCGGCCAAAGAAGGAGAATGATGCTGAGTACGTGCGCCGCAAGGACTACTTATTGGTGTTGCTGAACAACTACCACGGCGCATCGCGCAGAAACACGAAGGCCTTCCTCGACACGTTGGAGTCTTTGTATTTCGTCGAATCTGACCAGGGTTTGAAGCACGACAGTTATGCTGCCTTAATCTCCACGGACGATGAGGCAGAAACCGGTATTGAGTTGGACGCCAATTCGAAGGAGGAGGAGAGCCACAATGAGAGCATCGACCTCTGTTACGACCCTGTTCCGGTGGAGCGTGCCCCAGGGTCCTCGTCGGTCGGTCCATCATCAACCCAAACCCCCCACGTGCTACCGGTGCCCAAGGTGACCCCGGGCAAGACCCCGATGAAGTGGTTCGGGAGACAGAGAACTCTCACCGGCGCCCCAACCACATTGCTTTCTGGGTGTGTGGTTCGGCCGATCATTCTTATTGGAAGGATCACAACATTCACTTCGAAGGTGAGGATCACACTCTTTCGAGTGAGGCGGACTGGGCCATGACATGATTTAGCACCCGAGAATTATCCAATCGGCGATCCAGAAGGGTGAGTGGATCGTGGCCGTCAGTACCAAGAGAGGGGGATGGGCGTTATTCGCACGCAAGTCCAACTTGGTTCGTGGTCCTCACGAGGCTTTCGGTCATCGACAAAGTCAAAAACGAAAATCCAAAACTTCCACCCAACAGCCTGTCCATCGGTTCCACTACTGATCGTCTGTTCCACAAACTTAGCGACAATCAGTGGTTGGAACTCTTGGAGGACTTGTACAACCTTGACATGAGCCCTTCAAAGGGAAGGGTGAATTGGAAAGTGCCCCCTTCGACTGGGCCACTGGGGGTTCGGGGGGGCGCCTCCTGGCGGTGGAGGGGATGGGAGTGACGATGAGGGGAGTGGCAAGGACGTTCCGCCTAATGGAGAGGGTGGGCCTCACGACGAGGCCATGACAATGGAAGGCGGTGGTGGGGTGAAGGGGGTGACCGTTGCTCGGCATCCTCTTGCGGGCTGCAGTCCAGATCATACGATAAAGCCCACCGACATCCCAACTTTGTCGTACCTCGCATCGGTCACCGGCTCCGCGAGGGAGAGGTTGGCCGCCTTGATTGCTATTGGTAGCTGCTCGGGAGCAGGAATTCCTATCACAGGCGGAAAGTCCAAGTCCGCTGGGATCCAAACTAGACAGATTGAGGTGCCAAGGCGAGAGTCGGTCGTGCAGAGCGTGTTAGGGGCAGGAGTGTCGAGTCTGGATGTCGCGTCGAACTGCGTCGGAATCCGCACTTCGCCTGGGGGCAGTCTATCGACTCACAGTGGTATTGTGCGGGACCGAACTGCATCGACTGAGGGGGAGGGGCGGCCTGCGGGGTTGAAGCAAGAGTGTGCAAGTGGAGCGCACACCGACCTCGAGACGTCGAAGTCCGCCGGGATCCAAACTTCATCAGAAGGGGGTCCTCGAGCAGGGATTATCGTGGCAGTGATAGGGGCTACGCGTGTCGAAGCAGGAGGGTGGTCGGCGGAATTTGGCAAGGGTTCGGGGGAAGGGGCTGAATTGCATGGAAGGGACGAAGGCTATGTGACACCCGCGGCCTAGGCCGCGGGCAATTCGGCCGCCGAAACCGAAAAAGTCGGTCGCAGCCGCGGCCTCTAGGCCTAGTTTGCGGCCCGATATCTCAGATATTTTTGGGGGGTCGAAAAATAAGTGAAAAAAAAAATGGGGTTGCAGGGTTTTGACATTCCTACAACCAATTTTTTTTTTTTTTAATTTGACTTCATTTAGGATCTATAAAAAATGAAAAACGAAAATCGGTTAAAAAAACAATAATAAAATAAATAAAAGAAAAGCAAGATTTTTTTTTTTTTTTTTTTGCATGACTGATATGGAGTCAGAGTCCTAAAAACAATTCCAAGGTAATTGCTTTTTTTATTTTTATTTTATTTTATTTTTTTCTTCTTCTTCTTCTTCTTCTTCTTCTTTTTGCTGGCTGGCTGGGTGGTTGGTTGGTTGGATGGTTGTGTTGGTTGTGTTGGTTGGTTGGTTGGTTGGTTGGTTGGTTGGTTGGTTGGTTGGTTGGTTGATTGGTTGGTTGGTTGATTGATTGATTGATTGATTGATTGATTGGTTGGTTGATTGGTTGGTTGATTGGTTGGTTGATTGATTGGTTGGTTGGTTGGTTGGTTGGTTGGTTGGTTGTTTGGTTGATTGATTGATTGATTGATTGATTGATTGATTGATTGATTGATTGATTGATTGATTGATTAATTGGTTTGTTGATTGGTTGGTTGGTTGATTGATTGATTGGTTGGTTGATTGATTACAACCAAAAAAAAAAAAATGAAGCGTGTGTGTGTGTGTGTGTGTGTGTGCACGTGTGTGTGTTTGTGCATGCGCGGGGGCGAGCGCGCGCGCGTGTGTGTGTGTGTGTGTGTGTGTGTGTGTGTGTGTGTGTGTGTGTGTGTGTGTGTGTGTGTGTGT